GTACGTGTGTTATGGTGCGAGTGAGTGAGGACCATTTTGGTTCTGATTTATGTAAGGGTTAAATAGAGGTGTTTTTCGTGGGTCATTTAGAGGTCAAATAACTCCTGGGAAATAATAATAGTGATAATGATGATGATAATTATGATAATGATGATGACTGTACTCGAATATTCACTAATGAGAAAGAAAGAAAGAAAGAAATAGAGGGAGACAGAACGAAAGAAAGTGAGAGAGAAAGAAAGAAAGTGAGTGAGTGAGTTAGTGAAAGAAAGAAAGAAAGTCAGTGAGTGAGTTAGTTAGTGAAAGAAAGAAAGAAAGAAATAGAGGGAAACAGAACGAAAGAAAGTGAGAGAGAGAAAGAAAGAAAGTGAGTGAGTGAGTTAGTGAAAGAAAGAAAGAAGGAAAGAAAGTCAGTGAGTGAGTTAGTTAGTGAAAGAAAGAAAGAAAGAAATAGAGGGAGACAGAACGAAAGAAAGAGAGAGAGAAAGAAAGAAAGTGAGTGAGTGAGTGAGTTTGTGAAAGAAAGAAAGTTACCATAGTACCAGGTGTTTTCTATCATCAGCACATCAATAACAACATCCAATTAGAGTAGAGAAAATAAACATTCACTGCCACATATTACCTCATGGTCTATACATATTAATACATGTATGTATACTGTATGTGTATGTATTATAACCTCAAGAACAAGAGTGCCAGTATACATATAAGGTTCCTGAGTGCCATAATTACCCTTTATAGTGGCACTCTTACGAATCTGGCCAACGGGGGAATTACCTCTAGGATGACACTATAACTCGGCATCCGAATTAGGAATAAATATTTAATTACAGGACGATGGAAGGTAGATATGGCGGTGTAAGAGATGGTATGTTGTACCTCCTGGGAATGGTAAGGGAGGTAGGGGGGAGGAGGAAGGTAGAAGAATTATAAAACGCTCTCTGATCCCTTGTGGCCAGTGAGTTGTCTGATGTTCATTTGTTTTGATGGTTAGGTTAGGTTAAGTTAAGCTACGTTAGGTTAGGTTAGGCTACGTTTTTGCTCTTATTTCCGTACAGGTGACTAATTACAGGTAGAACAAGTGAGAAAAAAGACGGGACAGGTGGGAATAGAATACTCAGAGGTAACTTGTAGGTACTGGTGAGTGAGGTAGGTAGGTAGGTAGGTACTAGTGAGTGGGGTAGGTAGGTACTAGTGAGTGGGGTATCCTATTCTGGATTTATATTGAGTGCTGGTGGATGATAAAAGGTCAGGGAACAGTGGGGAAGTCAATAGGAAGTCTCGTTTTATGTCCTAATGGTAGTTGGTTCGCATGCTGGGCACCCTTAGTCGACCTAGCTGTGAAGTGCGCGGAGGTTGAGTATCCTTCCGTTTAGTTACCCGTTCTTGATGTTGTTACCTGTGTTAATAATCTTGTTTCAGCCAACTCCTTCTTTCCTTTCTTCCCCCTTCCTTCTTTTTTCTTCCTTCCCGCCTTCCTTCCTTCCTTCCTTCCCTTCCTTCCTTCCATCCTTCCATCCTTCCTTCCTTCCCTTCCACCCTTCCTTCCTTCCTTCCTTCCTTCCTTCCTTCCTTCTTTCCATCCTTCCTTCCTTCCTTCCCTTCCATCCATCCTTCCTTCCTTCCCGCCACCGACCAACACCATAAACTATTCCGCCATCTTGTATCCCCCCCCCCGTACTTGACGTAAGACCATTCACTCTTAATTCGCCTCTGTGATTGGCCGAATGACGGTGGTGTAGTCCAATCAAATTTAAGATTAACAAGGACTGCAGTACGATGATTGGGTGCCCTGATTAACGGTGATGTTCATATAACGGACTTCGATTTAACGGAAAAATCTCTCACACATAAAGTCCGTTAGAAGGAGGTTTCATATATAACGGACTAAACTCTCATAATCCGTTATAAGGAACCTTCATATTTAACGGACTAGTCTCTCACATACAGTCCGTTAAATAGAGGCTTTACCCTCACCTGTCATCACTGGCTGGCGTTCACGAGGCGGCGGCCACACTTAGATAAACGAATTAAATTATAAATTGCCGGGAAAACATTAAGCTCTTGTTCAGGTTATTGAGTTATACATAGGCAGTTATACATAGGTAGTTATATTCATAGGTAGTTATACATAGGTAGTTATATTCATAGGTAGTTATACATAGGTAGTTATATTCATAGGTATCTGGAGACTATAAACAATGGTTCTTTGTTTTATTTAAGCTTTGAAGGGAATTTTTTTAAGTTTTTCTAAGCTTTTATGGACTTTTTACCCGTATCTTCTAAGCTTTACGGGAATCTCTAAGCTTTCAAGGGAATTCTCACCCGTATCTTCTGTAGGTCAGTCAATTTCTACAGCTAAATTCGATTAAGTATTTCCACCGCTACAACACACAGTAATCGCTACAACACAGTAATCGCTACAACACACAGTAATCGCTACAACACACACATCCTCACAATCAAAACAATGAGATTCGGGTTACAACCGACCTGAGGCGGCCATCTTGGAAAACTCCTGACTGACCTGTAATTAACTGTAAGTATCGTCAGTGTAAGCGTTGTCTGAGCGTTGTGAGGAGAGTAAAACTAAATCATAAGCTTCTCTGAATAAGTGAGTGGGTCAGTGAATGAGTCAGTGTAATAAGTGATGAAGTGGTATATACCTGTGTTGACGATGGTACAGCCTCCAAACAGCCAGCTTATATGACCTATACCAAACCTATCCACCAATCACGTCCATCGTTACACCACAACTATCCATTCATTCATAAATAGTGATACGCCTACTACTGTGACGGTGACGTTTGGTGACACGGGTTACCACAGTGGGCGTAGGAACACATGTCTGCAAATGTACCACCATACCTGTCACTGAGGGCACACTTAGGTGAGACGGGGTACACTTAAGTGAGACGGGGTACACTTAAGTGAGACAGGGTACACTTAAACGAGCCTAGATTACATTAAGACTGTAAATAAACTGTGAATGACTGTCAGACCAAATTCTCAAACAAACTTACCCTCCCCATTTCCCCCCCTGACTGGAGACCCGGGTGCGGCTCTAACCGGGTTACTGAAGACACTACACAGACTGAGTTAGCCCTTCAGAGAGGCGTCCAGATCCCACTGAAATTCTCACTTGACAAGAATCAGTAATCATAGCCTCCGTTCCGGGTGAAAATTACTCATGTTTACGATTTGTTTATTATGAATCCGGTTTAAATCCACGAACGGTCTAAGGAATATGTTGTTGTTGTTGTTTTTTTATATAGTTAGATGTGTTAATTTATTTGTGGGTAGTGATAAATTTCTTAGGAGTTTGTTAGTGTAAAATGTTTAGTGTTTTGTGGTTGTTGTGTTGTGGTAAAGTGTCAGGGTGTTGTGGTACAGTGCCAGGGTGTTGTGGTACAGTGCCAGGGTGTTGTGGTACAGTGCCAGGGTGTTGTGGTACAGTGCCAGGGTGTTGTGGTACAGTGCTACGGTGTTATGGTAGAGTCAGGGTGTTGTGATAGTGTGCTATGGTGTTGTACAGTGCCAGGGTGTTGTACAGTTGTTCATGATCAATAAAACTACTCGTACAATTGTCCACCAAACTACGGGTACAATAATTTACGGTCATTTAAACTATGGCTACATTTGTTCACGGTCCATCAAATTGTGCAGTTATTGTTCACGACTAATCAGAATCCGTGTACAATGGACCTCGATTAATCCAGTTATTCATCGCTTGTTGTTCACGATGTATAAGAAATCATCATGTACATTTGTTCCCTACCGCTAAAGCTATATGTCCAATTGTTCACGGGTAACCAAACACCACGTACAATTGTTCACGGGTAACCAAACACCACGTACAATTGTTCACGGGCGTAGTTCATAGTTCAGGGACAATAAAAACACACTCGGTAAAGCACGGAGTTATATATATCATTAGGAAGGAAGGATAGAACGTGTGACTTAAACCAGTGTCACGTTAGGTCGTCACGATGGCCAAGTTACATGACCTAGGTGGCAATTATGGCAAGAGGTTTTGGTGAGGAATTTTTTGGGGTGGGGAGGGTCGGTATGAGTCTCTCCCCACACCCTGGTATTATTGGTGGTGGGGAGAATAGTGGTACATAACTTTACTCACCCCGGTATGATTGGTGGTGGGGAGGAAAGTGTCACTACTCTCCCCACACCCCAGCATGACAGTGGGAGTGGGGAGGTTAGTGTCACTGCTCTCCCCACACCCCAGCATGACAGTGGGTGTGGGGAGGATAGTGTCACTACTCTCCCCACACCCCAGCATAACAGTGGGTGTGGTGGGGATAGTGTCACTACTCTCCCCACACCCCAGCATGACAGTGGGTGTGGGGAGAATAGTGTCATTACTCTCCCCACACCCCAGCATAATAGTGGGTGTGGTGAGGATAGTGTCACTACTCTCCCCACACCCCAGCATGACAGTAGGTGTGGGGAGAATAGTGTCACTACTCTCCCCACACCCCAGCATAATAGTGGGTGTGGTGAGGATAGTGTCACTACTCTCCCCACACCCCAGCATGACAGTGGGTGTGGGGAGAATAATGTCACTACTCTCCCCACACTCCAGCATGACAGTAGGTGTGGGGAGAATAGTGTCACTACTCTCCCCACACTCCAGCATGACAGTAGGTGTGGGGAGGATAGTGTCACTACTCTCCCCACACCCCAGCATGACAGTAGGTGTGGGGAGGATAGTGTCACTACTCTCCCCACACCCCAGCATGACAGTAGGTGTGGGGAGGATAGTGTCACTACTCTCCCCACACCCCGAGGAGGTGGGGAGCGGGACACATAATCTGCTCCAATAAATACACGTAAGGCTGTTGACACATTGCCCTGGCCATGCCACCCCGGCCGACCTTGACCCCTGAGCGTGACAATGACAGCCATGTCATGCCACAGTCACTGTCGGGGTGACACCTAGAGGAGCCCCACCAGACCCCAGGAACTAAAGGACTCAGGGTACTTACGGTTGACCGTCGTTGTCTGGATAAAGAAAGAGGCGGGAGCAGCACCAGGTGGAATCACTGGCGGGTATCCGTGCGGGGGGCGGGTAGTGCGGGTAGTAGTGGTAGCGAGTCACAAGTGGCGGGGGACTGTGGTCTGTAGCTGAGAGTCTTCACCTGACTGACGCGACGCCCGTGTAGGAGGAGTCGCGAGCACGTTGCTGACCCCGCCTTATATAGCCCCAGTCCTCCCTCACGCCCCGCCCCCGGTACAGGCTCCGCCCTCTCCCACACCCAGGCCCTCCTACACGATCGGCTTCTTTACATATTAAGTGATAATATACGAGATATTGGCGTCTTGGCCATGACACACAAGTGACATAAGCAAGTAAACGAGTGAACCAGGAGTCAATATCCTAGCTCCTCCCGCCACAACTTATGAAACATTCCTCACCATCACGGCTCCTCACCATCACGGCTACACCATCAACCATCATTCACTATGGGGCATAAATTTCTTGTATATGTATCATTAATAACATTCAGTAATAAAGCAAGCAGATAACATTACCCTCCTTCCTGACACGCCCACCTTGGAGGAGGAGGGGGGAAGAAGACCCATGACGTCATCATGACGTTAACTCAGCGCCACGGTCATCAAGTAACAAGGAAAAAAAAAGATTATGTTTTTAGACGTGCATTTGGGGGCCTTCTACACACACCACCTACACCGCCCACACACCTACCACCCACACACCCCACCGCCCACACACACACCCTACCACCGCCCATACACTCACTCACACTCTACCACCGCCCACACACCCTACCACCGCCCACACCCCACCACACCTACCACCGCCTACACACATACCACCGCCCATACACCCCCACCACCATCACACACACCCCACCACCCATACACCCACTCACACTACCACCGCCCACACACCCCTGTCACCACCCACACCACACTCACTCCCACCACCGCCCACACACCCCACCACCGCCCACACACCCACTCACACTCTACGCCCACAACACACCCTACCACCGCCCACACACACCCCACCACCGCCCACACACACACACCCCACACCCCCACTTCCACTCTACCACCGCCCACACACCCTACCACCGCCCACACACCCCTACCACCGCCCACACACCCACCCACACTACCTCACCGCCCACACACACCCTGTCACCACCCACACCCACTCACACCTCCCACCGCCCACACACACTCACACACACCCCACCTCCCACCCACGCCCACACACACCTACCACCGCACACACCTACCACCGCCCACACCGCCCACACCCACTACCACCGCACACACACCCTACCACCGCCCACACACCCACTCTCCTCTACCACCGCTCACACTCACCACACCGCCCACACACCCTCCACCCACCCTTCCACCGCCCACACACACACCCACACCCTACCACCGCCCATACATCCCACACACTCTACCACCGCCCACACACACCCACACACCCTCCCACCGCCCACACACACTCACACACACCCTCACCGCCCACACACCTCCCACCGCCCACACACACCCCACCACCTGCCCACACACACCCTACCACCGCCCACACACACCCACACACCCTACCACCGCTCATACACCCACACACACTCTACCACCGCCCACACACATCCTACCACCGCCCAGGGCTCTGTGCACACCAACACCCACCCACCCTACCACCGCCCACAGCTCTCTACACATCCACGCAAACAGGGCCATGCAGTATGGTATTGGGTGGTAGTGTGGTAGAGCCTAACCTAACCTACCTGAAGGCGTGTTAATTATGTCAACAGAGAGGTGATGGGTTCCTCCTGAGGTCGAGTGCAGAAGACGTGACCTGGTGTGTGTGTGTGTGTTCCTCAGTTACACTTCCTTTGATATGCATTTCCTAACCTAACCTAACCTAACTTAACCTAACCTCACCTAACCTTCACCTCGGCTCTTCACTCTCAGGCTGGCAGGTGGTGAGGAGGGGAGGGTGGGTAGGTCATGAGCCTGCACTTAACGGCCTGTAACCTTCAGTGAACTTAACCACCGCGGTGAGTTAATGAACCATTTAGTTGAACAAACTGGTGATCCAGGTACACACACACACACAAGCACTTAAACACTCACACTTAAACGCACACACACACACACATCCACCCACACACCCACCCACACACCCACCCCCCACCCACCCTCCCACCCCCCCCCACTCACACACCCACTCCACCCCACCCACCCACCCACCCAATCAATCACCCACTCACCCACCCACCCAATCCCCACCGCCCACCCACCCTTTAAAGTGAATCTTGATAACAATCCTTATCGTAAAAGTAATATTTGACAGCGATATATCAAGACTCATTCCGTTTATCGTTATCAGATAGTACACCTCCGAGTTGACATAGGTAATTACCCCTCCCCTTAACTACCGATAACACGTCAATTACACTCGATATAAAACATCCAATAAGCTTCGAATATTTCACGGTGCTAAATATGTGTGTGTGTGTGTGTGTGTGTGTGTGTGTGGCTGAGAGAGAGAGAAGAGAGAGAAAGAGAGAGAAAGAGAGAGAGAGAGAGAAACAGAGAGAGAGGGCCATGGAAGGTATTAAGGAACGAAAGAGGGGAACAAGAGGCAGGAGGATAAAAATAAAGGGAGAGGAAGGGAGGAATAATATAAACCTAATAATATAGAAGAGAGAGAGAGAGAGAGAGAGGAAAGACATTTAGACATAATTCAAACACACACACACACACACTCTCTCTCAACACTACTGCGGTCACAACTCACAGGTATTACAGTAACATAAGACCCTTTACCTGTTGCCGTAATCCAGGTCCTCTCTCTCTCTCTCTCTCTCTCTCTCTCTCTCTCTCTCTCTCTCTCTCTCTCTCTCTCCTTCCCACAAGCCCTCTCCTAATCCCTCCTAATCCTTCCTTCCTCCTCTACTGAATATCCCCCTTGCTCATCCTCCTCCTCCTTTTCTTCCTCTTTCTTCTCTTCCCCCTCTTCCTCCTCCTCCTCTTCCTCCTCTCCATCGACACCAGTGTAGGATCTGTAACTCTACGATGACAGTAAGTTGAAGTATTATGGTGGTACTCGTAACTCACAGGGTCTTGAGTGAGTACACAGACGTCCAACTAGAGTACAAGGGAAACCTCACCCCCCCCCCCACGTAAACCTGTCACCAGATGCTTGTTAGGCCTTTATGTTTAATGGTGTTTGGTAGTGTTAGTCGAAGCTCTGCACCAGTGAGGAGTTGTGTCAGGTCAGAGTCTACCTGCAGGGGGGGGGAGTATATGGTCAAGAACAGCACCTTCTGGGCCTTCTTCATGTGGGTCTCCGGGTGGTGGGGGGTAATGAGGGCTCCTGGGTACAGTACGTGGTGGTTATGTGTTGGTTTTGGGTATGTTAAACTATCGTCCTCAAAACGTTAAACCATCGTCCCTAAATGGATTAATTATCATCCCCCAAAAGGTTAAACCATCGTCCTCATATATTATTAAACCATTAAACCATTGTCGTCAAAGTATTAAACCTTCGAGAATGATTTTCACTTTGGGTAGGGTCGGATTGGGTCTGGTAAGGGCAGGACTGTGTGCCTCGTACCCTGGAAACATACCCCAGTAGTGCCAGGTAGTGCCCCTAGTGACACCATACCATACTCTCTCTCTCTCTCTCTCTCTCTCTCTCTCTCTCTCTCTCTCTCTCTCTTTCGTCATGTCCCCGGCGGTGAGCACAACACTAAGCACATCCCGCTAGTGGGCAGACCTAACGGGTAGATACACAAGCTCCCCTAATAATCTGTCCAGCTCTCAGGGTGTAAAGCCGCGCGGAGGGTGTGTTGAGTCGACTACGACCACCACAACTACACCCTGTACTGCTACACCTCCCCCCATTTACCTGTGTATTAAAGGGAGTCTAACGTCAGCTGCATGGCCAGGGGACGTCACTGGAGTTTGGGCTGACAGGAAAATGACCCCCTTGGAATGTTGAAGTGTTCATTGGGCATTTTTAGACAGTAAACAATGCAAGGGAACTCAAACCTAACCTTACCTAACCTAACCTGACCTAACGTAACCCCCCCCACACACAGCTTCAGGTGATAGAGCCAAATTACCCCCAAAGTACCTGTACAAACCTTTATATCAGTATTATATAAGTAATCATCATACAGTACACAGATTAAAGTATTCACCAGCAATACATACATCAATACACATCTATACACAGTTACAATACAGTAATAAGAGTTTGAATATAGTAAAGATTGTTATTGTGAGTATTTTAATAACGATTCAACTGCTGTATTGTCATTCACCTTTTAATATTCCAATAGTCTACGGAATTTGATATTGAAACAAGTCATAGACGCGATATTACGTCAATGATTTATATATCCGGGTTACAAACAATTGAAAACTGTGTACTGTCATTTGTTTTATTATTTACAATATTAAAAAAATAATAATGTAACTACAACTTTATATCCTGGTAATAATGGGAATTGTCTGTAAATATTTAATAATGTAGGAATAATGACGTTAAACAGTAATGATATTAATACACTGATGAAATATGGTTTGTTTTGTTCCAATATTCTATGAGGTATGATATATTCTTTTAAAACATACGGTTATATTAGACTTTATTATTTTTGTCTGTTTTTTTCTTACTAATTCCATACGTTAATATTTATTATCTTGTGAATTAGATACATTTATAATAGTCAAAATTGCCGTCTCTGAGGCTATACAGTTGACGAACCTTAACCTATCCTCTCCTTACACCGACACTGTCATCCCTGGGGCCACGAATGATGACTGAGGTAACAATAAGAAGTGTAGGTAGTAAATAATGTTAGTTCTCCTCGGTCTAAGTATCTTAAAGTGGATTTGTTGTCGATGAGGCGCCAGGAGTCCATTCTCACTCGATGCTTCACCACGGGTCCTCTTTATAAGGTGTTATGTCTGGTATAATTTACTATGTGATGCTATAAACGGTAAGGAACCATAATGGAAGTGTTTTTTGTTTTTTATACGCCCTAACACCTTTTCGTTTATTCCTGGGTGCTGTTAATAATGAAAAGTTTATAAACTTTAACATTGTGGCTCACTGTTTTGAATATGTAAATTAGTCGATAAAGATTCGCAAAGTTTAGCCTGGGAACTT